AACAATTTCTTATTTATGTTATCTTGCTGCAACACTTTGCCATGTTTCTTATGTATGCTTTTTGGTATGTTTCTGTAGAACAATTTCTTTATTTATTTAAAAATAATAATTTCCCTACAAATCATAGTCTACAATATGATTTCTTACTATATTAAAAGAGTACACATGAGCTTCTTAGAAATGTAAAGAAAATAATAAAAACAAAAGAAATCCACTACCTCAAATTCACACTGTGGTAATTAAATTCTTTTAACGTACTTAGAAAGTGACCTAGGAATATTATGAGCCTTTTTAGTAATTTCAATGACTTTTCAACTCCATGTTAGTTTGAGATCAAATTTTTATATTACAATTTACACATTGCAAATCATGCCATATATTCGTGAACCTTAATAAAGTCAAGAGTAGGTATTCCATATGCAGCATCAGTCATATGTAGCATCAGTCATATGCAGTATCAATCATATGCAGCTATTGGTTAGGTTGATGATTAGGGTGTAGTTGTCAACTTATTTCTAGTTAGATCTTGTATCTTCTTTCCCATACTTCTAGGGTGGTTAGAAGCTTTTTGCCTTACCTTCTTTCTGCTCCTTATTTTATGGAGTTGCTGTGTAGGAGTGGTTCAAGGGTGATCAGTGTGTTGATCACCCCTTGTCCTATATATCTTGTATCCTTGTGTGGTTGTTTCCTTATGAATCATAATACAAACAAACACTTAAAATTCAACAAACCTGACCAAAAGTGTGATGTGATGATAAATACTTTAAAACCACTAATGGATTCAAGGTGTTTCATTTTCCTCTTATGTATAATGTTGTTACAAGTAGTCCTCACAAGGGAGGGGCAAAAGTGTACGATGGTTTCAAGAAAAATGCTGATAATTGAAAGAAACAAAAATATCATCACAAGGGAGGGGCAAGGCCATTCATCCAACATGCTAGGAATGCTCACAAGGTAATGAAATTAAATCACATATAAAATTTAGTGTGTAATTTCGATATGCTCCTGTTTGTTATATTTTGTTTTGAATATGAGAAGTAGAAATGAGAACCATTTTCTGTGATTGACAATTGGGGGGCTCTCCACAAAAACAAGAACGGGCAATGGATAAATGATATTGCTCAAGAGAAATATGTAAGTCACTTTTGCGTATGAATGTGGTATTTAGCAATTGATCAATATTGAATTCACTTTTGTGTATGATGTTCATTGCTATAAAAATGATGTTACAAGGTGACAAGTAAATATGACATAAACTAACAATATTATTGTTAATTATAAGTGATATTACTACTCTAAGAGCTATAAGGTATGACAAATTTTGACCTGAACTATGTTTACAATTTGGTTTCTTTTTAGCCGTTGAGTAATTAACGCTCCATCTTTTCCCCTAGAAAGCAAAAGCACCAAAAGAAGTTGAATTCTTTAAATATTACTTATTTAGCAATTGATGAATATAGAATTCACTATTTTAGTATTCTTGGTGCTATTTGTTATGTAAGGATAAGATGAAAAAAAAGAAGGATGAAGTTATGGAGAAATTCATCCAAGAAGCACCAGATGGTACTCCACAAGATTCTCTACAAGTTCCATTGGATGATGAGTTTGGCATCATGGCTGAGAACCTTGGGAGGAAGGGAAAATCTGTTAATGGTGTAGGCCTTTTTCCTCGTATGGATACATCTGATTATGTTTCTTCAATGCCTTCAAGTTTTGAGTTAATAGAGATGAAAGATCAAATAAAGCTTCTATCAACTAGTTTCATCAACTTGAAAAAAGAGAATAAAGAGTTGAAAAAGAAGAATGATATTCTCATATTACAAGTGAAAGCTCTTTTAGCAAAAAAGTGTCAAGGCATCAACAATTCTATAGGTACTGATGATGTTCTTTCAGATGTCAATGGTGCATATGCTGAAATGAAAGACCTTGGTACGGATGAAGACTAATTTATATTACAAAGTCTTTTATTGTTATCTAGTTTTAGTCATGCACATGGTAGAACTTTTTGGTTAGCTCCTTAGTGTGTTAGATTTCTCTTTTGTTAGCATCCCAACATGTATAAAGGAGTTGGTGCCCTTCATGATGAACTTACTATTATCTAGCTTTAGTCATGCACATGGTAGAACTTTTTTGGTTAGCTCCTCAGTGGATTTCTCTTTTGTTAGCATCCCAACATGTATAGAGGAGTTGGTGCCCTTCATGATGAACTGCCATTGAGCTGAGATGGGACACTAAGATCTAGAATTAGATTTTTTTGGGATTTTTATGTGAGTATATGAAATGTACTTGATGTATGTGCCTAAGTAGTTTATTAATGAAAATGCAATTAACCAAAGCATTACCTTATATTAGACATGAATTGTAATTCTATTTTATAAATAGGGAATTGTAATTTCAGATTATAAACAGGGAATATGTATTGGTCTATCACATATATTTCCAAAATAGGTATTTAATTTTGACATAAATGACCTAGGCTACGTCACAAATGGAAGAAAAATGTGACACTTTCAGCGTCACTTATCTATTTCATAAGTGACGAATTATATAGGTCACATAATTTACTCTTTTTTATAAACAATGAATTGTAATATCAGATTATAAACAGGGAATATGTATTGGTTTGTCACATATATTTCCAAAATAGATATTTTATTTTGACATAAGTGACCTAGGCTATGCCACAACGGAAGAAAAATGTGACTCTTTCAGCGTCACTTATCTATTTCATACGTGACGAATTATACAGGTCACATAATTTATTCTTTTTTATAAACAAGGAATGGTAATATTAGATTATAAATATGGAATTGTATTGGTTTGTCATATCTATTTCCAAAATAGATAGTTTATTTTGACATAAGTGAGCCAGGCTATGCCACAAATGGAAGAAAAATGTGATGCTTTCAGCGTCACTTATCTATTTCATACGTGATGAATTATGTAGGTCACATAATTTATTCTTTAGTGACGCCTTATTAGTCACAATCTCCTATTTCGTAAATTTAAACCAGTACTAAGTGACGAAAGCAGTGTCACATATACTAAACATATGTGGCGCTTTTAAAATTCGTCACTTATACTTTCCGTGACACGTCATAGGTGACGCTCGCAGTGACGCTGTAAAAGCGTCACATATTATCAAATATGACGCATTTTTATTTTCTGTGACGAATATTTTTCGTCACATAAGCCTTGTTTTCTTGTAGTGATAGCTTCTAGAAGGGGTGGATGCGGCACACTTTTAGGGATATGGCTTGGCTTCTAGAAACCTGATTTATAGGTATCCTAATGTCATTTAGATGTCCTCCTTGCAGCTGGAATTAAGATAGGAAAAGATTAGGATAGGATAAGATAAGATAAGGTTGGATAAGGTTTGGATAAGATAAGGTAATTTGGATAATGTTTCCTTCTTTATAGCTGATTCCTTATCTTCCAAGTCTTGAATTAATTCTTCCAGATGTTAAGCACATTCCTAGCTTCTATTGATCTTCAAAAACGTCCATCCACCTTACTCCATGCATGTGTTATCCATTCCAAGCACAAAAATGCTCCAAAATGCTCCCAATTGCACTTTCTTGCCACTTTTGCCATTTGAACCTACAAACACACGAAATGCTCCTATCAATTTACTAAAGTCCATTCCTTTTTGTTTTGGGCTTAGTTTGTGTTGTTTAAGTTTTTTGTGTCTCCTTGTAATGTTTAAAAAATTGTGAAATTGTGTGAAATATGATATATGTTTGTATCCTTGTAAGTAAAGCTTCCAAAATAATTACCAGGCACAAAAATAGAATGAAATAAGACCAAACCCAACCCTGGGCTAAATTTTATTTTTTAGGTTTTGTTCCCCCCTGTCACATCCCGGCCCAGGGCGGATCACTTCCAGGGCCCGACTCCACCACCGTAGCACGATATTGTCCGCTTTGGGCCCCGACCACGCTCTCACGGTTTTGTTTCTGGGAACTCACATGAGAACTTCCCGATGGGTCACCCATCCTGGGAATGCTCTCGTGTGCTACTCGCTTAACTTCGGAGTTCCCATGGAACCCGAAGCCAATGAGCTCCCAAAAAGCCTCGTGCTAGGTAGGGATGGGAATATACATTTAAGGATCACTCCCCTGGGCGATGTGGGATGTTACAATCCACCCCCTTAGGGGCCCGACGTCCTCGTCGGCACACACGCGGCCAGGGTTAGGCTCTGATACCAATTGTCACATCCCGGCCCGGGACGAATCACTTCTCGGGCCCGACTCCACCACCGTAGCACGATATTGTCCGCTTTGGGCCCCGACCACACCCTTACGGTTTTGTTTTTGGGAACTCACATGAGAACTTCCCGATGGGTCACCCATCCTGGGAATGTTCTCGTGCGCTATTCGCTTAACTTCGAAGTTCCCATGGAACCCAAAGCCAGTGAGCTTCCAAAAGGCCTCATGCTAGGTAGGGATGAGAATATACATTTAATGATCACTCCCCTGGGCGATGTGGGATGTTACCCCCCTAACCCAACCCAACCCAACTCATGTTAAATGTGTGGGCTAAAAGCTAAAAGTCAAACAAAAGCCAAATTCCTCCCAAGATTTAGCCCAAAAAAATGGTGTGGGCACCTCTAGCAGGACCCACCCACATGGGCATGTCTCTCAAGATTTATTGAATCCAACGGCTGAGATCGAATATAATCAAATCTAACATTAAAAAAAAAGATTTAATGACCCAAATTTAAATCCAACGGCTAAAATAATTAAAAAAATTATTTAACTCAAAATTCATCCAAATTTAGTGATTTTTCAATATTTATCAGAATTTAAATATTTTTAGGTTAAAATGTTCATAAAATTAAATTATTGTACATAATTTTTTTAAAAAAAATTACTTTAAAAGAAAAAATTAGCATAAATTTATTCTTTAATAATGTCAGCTTAAAAAATTTATATCAGAAGAGTTGGAGTAGAAAAATTATTTTTGAGCTAAAACCTAAATTTTCTGAATGGTGTAAATAAAACAGAAGAAGCGGAAGAATAATTTTCCATCTGGCACTTGCCGCCCAAACTCTCCCCTCTCCTTTCTTCTCTCTCGCTACTGTCACGGACGTACGGTCGACTTCTGCTTGAATTTGCACGTCAATGGCTGCCAGTAAAGTAAGCGTTTACTTTTTAATTACTATTTCGTTTCTTTAAATTCCTTCAACTTTACTGCTTTTTTGTTTCTTGAAATTTCACTTTCGTTGTTTGCATTCTGAACTTCAATTCTGTTGCTTCTGTCAATTTCTTTTTGGTTGCTCGGAATCTCTAACAACACCTGAAAACTTTCAGTCCTCATAAAATTCTATTCAATTTCAACCCCCTTTCTGTGAAATTCTTGAATTTGTTTTATTTTCTGACAATTTCCCAGCAACCAAACAGACACAAAACGCTGTGTAGGGTTTACGTTTTGATTTTAGATACACACAATTTGATATATTAAACTTGTAGCTCTGTTGGGTTTGCGTTCTTTACTGTTTTTTATTGGCGGGTTTCTCTTTTGTAGCTTTTGTTTACCGCAATTTATGTAAATTAAGTGAAAAATGTGCTTTGCTTCCAGTTTTGATTAAAACTAATCTGTCTTTTATCAAGATATTAAATTTAAAGGAACAAGGTGCGTGCATTTGATCATGGGTTTTTGGACGCATGTGTAAACAAGTGAAGCTTAATTGTGTATGCCTTCTCTTGTTCCTTTTTATGCATATGAGTGTTTGTTCGTGGGATTCTTTATGATCGAGAGGGATAAATGGTTTTTTATGCTTTATTTATTAATTGCAGCCGTCGTCATCTTTTGATTCCATGGCGTTGGATAAAGACTGCTCAATTGTCCTTGAGCTATCTGAAAGTGACCCTCTTTTTGATACAAAGAAGGTGAGGAAGCAACAAATATTTTTTATCTATAGGACTCATACCAAGTCTTAATGATCCTTAGTAATAGAAATGTTAGAATGAATGGTATGTACAGTGGAGAAACTGTCAAATGACCCTTTTCGTCAATGAGATTTTGTTACTCTTAGTCTTAAATGTAGGACGTATTTGTGAACCGTTGGAGGCACATTGTTAAATAAAGTAAGAAGTGCCAAACTAATCACTGTGTATTCTTCTATTTCAGATTCTTGGTTCACTTAGGCAGTTTATCTAAAATAAGAATAAAACTATGGAATAACAACCATCCGCACAGCCGTTTTACTATTTGTAAACTTTTCGTATATGTTACTATTCTCTTTCTTGTAGATAGTATTGTTCTTACATGTTAGTTAGCATCTGATGATTTGTATATGCTTTCGAATTAGCTGAGTTGTTTCTACCATCATTCTTATAACATTTGTTTTTTCTCATTTTCTGGCAGAAATTGCTACAAGATAAGGGATTTAATACAAGGCAACAAATCAATGTTAAGGGGTCTTCAAATCCTAATTGGCTCAGTACCACCGTGGAAGTAATGCTTCAGATAGCAACAATCATAAAATCAACTGAGGTAATCTGTCACTAAGCTCTTTAAATTAAATGATCGTCAACTTAAAGGATGCCCAAAGACGATTATGGGAATTTATTGTAGAACTAGAACAAAGCAAAATTCTTTTTACTTTGGGAAATATGAGGCATAGAAATTTGGTCCATTTTCATGCCTGAGGAATCCATCACAAGATCCTTCAACTCATAATTCCAATACCTCCTTGGACTGTTTATGCACACAAGGGGAGACAGGTGGCTTTTGAAATTAGAATTGCCTGATAATACTTTATGATTAGTAGACTAATGATGAAATAGTGGTCTTTAATGAGGTGCAGGCAGAGCTTTATTTTGGGCAAGATCAACCAATGGAATCATATGGTCCCAGGAATGAACTTGAGGCTCTCAATTTAATCCTTCAGCTTGTTGAAGCCTCATTCTTTGGTGCATGTCAAATGCAAAAGAATGTCCTGCAAGAACTACACAATGTAATTGTTGATATGATTTGTCAGTCTTCTGACAAGCACCGTCCAAAGACTACAATTGTAGAAGGCTACAACTCTGATAAAGAAAAGCAATTGTTACAATGGGGTGAAAACAATGGCATCAAAACAAGGTTGCAGATAGTTTGTAAGTCTTAACTTTTCACTGTATGATTGCTGCTGTTGTAACTTTTTATTCTTTCACTCTTTTGAAGGGGGTTTTCCTGCACAAGAGAAGTGAACTAGTCTTGAATATATGATGTCTTTTTTGCTTCCCTCGTCATAATAGATGTTGAAGGGGCTGGCAGAGGAACCATAGCTAAGGAGGATCTGAAAGTCGGTGATACTGCTCTGGAGATCCCAACATCTTTAATAATCTCCCAGGAGCTTGTGCAAGCTGATATGGTATGTTTTAACGCTTGAGAAACCTTTTTAATAATTTTGACTTGTCTATAATTATTACTTTTGTGTTTAGTTAAGAGGCTTTTAGAAGTATATTAGAGTTAGGGGAGATAGAAAAACTAAAGTGAACCTACTTTATCTCAGTTGTGATCCCGCTTTACACGTTATGTAAGCATAAGTAAGCTTCTCTCTATAGTGGCTTATCTGAATCCTATCCCCTGTATACAACATGTTTATTTTTAGATTTCTATCTAGACTAGTCTGATGATGCTCTCTCTCTCACTTGTATATCTTGATATATAAGCATCTTTTACTGATGCAACTGTACTATTTCCCTTGTTCTTTCTGAGGTGGTATACTGATGCTCAGAGCTAGAGGGGGATTATTAATTGCATAGTTTATGAACAGAAAAGTGGTCCAATATATTACCTTTTTCTTTTAACTGCAGTATCATGTATTAGAGAAGTTTGAAGGCATTACCCCTGAGACGATGTTGTTGTTGTGGAGCATGAAGGAGAGGCACAATTGTAATTCAAAATACAAGATGTACTTTGACACACTTCCTGAAGAATATCATACTGGTACTTTGACTACTTGTGACATTGTTTTCCTATTATATCTATTTTGTAACTTTGTGCAACTACAAAGTTCCGCTTATATGAAATTCTATTTTGGCTTTTATCACTAATTTTTTTTTTTAAATTTAATATTATTTTCGGTGGATAATGAGGTCAAACGTGGAACTTATCCTCTATGTTTTCAAGCAAGTTGTTTATGTGTAAGATCCTCAGTGTTAGTATTTCTGGTAAATGATAATTTCAGATAACATACATGTAACTTAAAAAGGATAACTACCTACTAGCCAAGAAGCTGTGTTCCATTACTTGCCATTCTACGGGATTGAAAAAATTATTATTAATACCTTTTAACTTAATTCTAGCTAGGAATAATTGTGATTTTTTCTTTTTTTTTTTTATAATGAATGGAAGTTGAATAATTAATGTTGTTTTACCTTATTTCAATATAAAACTAATTTTTTTTGGTTAAAATTTCATACAAAACTATGATTTTCTCTATGGTAGCTTTTTCATGTTTTATTGTTCATTTGGGAATGATGCTATCTAGAAATGCTGGAAGAATTAGGCAAATGTGTTTATCAAGCATGAGACCAAACCATTGGGAAAGTTTGTGGTTGTGCTATCTGATATGTCTGTTTTTTTTTTTTTTTTTTTTTTTCTCTTTTTTCTGCTAATTGTAATGCAAAGACACAGGTTTTGTCCTGTGGTTTTTGCCTGTTGTAAAGGATAGTAAAATCTTGACCGTCTGCAATTTAGTCAGAATAAGCCTCAGGGGACAATCATGCCCTTTGCAATGGACTTATTGCTACATAGATTTGTACATGAGGAAAAAAAGGGGCCATAAAAAAGATGTTTAATAAAACTCCAAATTTCTGGTCATCACTTAGTTGCATCTTGAAAACTATCAACTCAGATGGACATGCTAAGATAAAGAATAAGATGAAGTTATTTGGTATTAGATCATAAATTAATTATGCATATTTGGTGTATTGGAGGGGGACTATTAATTTGTTAAGTCTGATATGATTACAATGATTTGTTTGTTTTAATTTATCTTTTCGTTTATTTCTAAATCATTCTTCCCTATATGCTGCAGGGTTGAGTTTTGGAGTCAAGGCGATGATGGCTTTGGGTGGAACCATGCTGTTGGATGAGATAACAGAAGCAAAAGAGGTTATTAGACTTTTTAGTATATTGTTATTAGAATATCTTGTTTGACATTCATGATCTCTTTCGTTCAGTTATAGATAAAAAAAATTGTCAATATTGTTACATGATTCATGCATTCAAGAATGGGTGTCCAGGGTGACAATGATATTAGAGCAACTCCACCAGTGGTTGAAAGGCAAGGGCAAGGGCAAGTATTTTGTCCTTTAAACACAAAACCACCTCCAGCAGGCCAAAATTCAGAGGGAAATTGGTGGCCCACGCCAAGCCCGCCCATCTGCCCTTGCAACTGCAGCATGGCCTTGTGCCAGCAGCCCAGGGGGCAAGCTGACCTTAGCATGACGTTGAGTTGGTGGAACTGGATGCGATCGGACCACGGGTGCGCATTCTCAGGCTCGAGCAGGTGCTTGATCTTGCCATTGTAGACGTCCACTGCTAGGACCTTGTGCAGCATCTCTGACATCAGCTTCTCGCAGAGGTTGGACCCAGTGAACCCTCCGGCTCCGATCATGCATATCGTCGGGTTGCCGTATAGAAGAAGAAGAGAGTGAGTTTGGGTGGTGGGAGGAGAGGAAGAGTGGATTGTGGGAGGAGGAGGAGAGTTTGGGTGGTGGGAGGCGGAGGGAGAGTTTGGGTGGTGGGAGCCTGGGAGGTGAGGAAATTGGGTGGGTAAGGTGAGAAGAAGAAGAAGAAGAAGAGGGCTTTGTGGGTTTGGTGAGGAAATTGGTGGGTTCGGTAAAGAAGAAGATTGGGCTTCGTGAGTTCGGTGAGAGAGTTTCTTGGGTTGGAGAAGAAGGAGAAGAAAACACTTAAAAAAAATGTAAAAAACCTTTTAAAAAAAATTATTTTTGTGAATGGTAATCACCCTCGCCCTTGCCCTTGCCCTTCCCAAACGGGTGGAGTTGCACAAAGGCAACTACTGGTCAAAGTGAATAGTAAGGGCAATTGCTCTTACCCAATAACAAATCTGCAGTGACACGACCTAATTGCTCTTACCCTGACTTTACCACAAGTAAATGGGGCCTCTGATGGTCTGGGCTGAAGTATTTGTTCTAGTTAGGGGTGCAGAACATGGAGATGGCCAAATCATGTGTAGGGAGAAACCTTGGGAGGGTTCTTTAAAGACAGGAAGCATTGCTTTATTGAGCACCCAGTCAATACCTTTCCAGCTACTATTGAAATATTTGATCTCTCATTTTTGTATACTGAAGAATGGAATGCTGTATCTGTATCCCTTTTGTTCTTTTTATTTTTCCTTCTCTGTGTTTCTGATAGGGTTTCGTGATAGATAACTTTCTCATACCATATAGACTTTATTTAAAGGAAAAGCCTGCGACTATTTAAAACTTATGCATCTGAATCTCTGTTTCTTTTTTTTTTGTTTTTTGTTTTGGTCACAGCATTTGCATGCTGAATATGATAAGCTCTTCCCTGCACTGTGCAACGAGCATCCTGATATCTTTCCACCGGAGCTTTACAAATGGGAGCAATTCTTGTGGGCATGCGAACTGTGGTACTCAAATAGCATGAAAATCAAGTTTCCTGATGGAAAGCTAAGAACATGCTTGATTCCAGTTGCTGGCTTTCTGAACCATTCAGTATGTTACCCTTTCCTTTTACGCCCACCTTTTATGTCTTGATTTTTTATATAAACTAAAAGGCTAAAATGTAGTTGCATTCACCGCTGGGAAACCTAAATTTTAAGGTATATGAAGTCGGAAACTGAATACTATTGGTTGATATCCTTGGCAAGAATTGCTACCAGCCACTGATCACAACCATCTGGCTGCAATACTTTTGTGAATTGGTTGCCACATTCCTAGACAGATTGTTTATTTATTAAAAACTTAAACGTCTCCAGGAATTAATGACCTTGTGTTATCTACTTTAGTGATAATCATATTTGGTTTTAATTGAAAAGTGTTCGTAATGAATGCCATTTAACAAATGTTTTGAGTTGGTTCTATCATCATGGTATCCCAAGGTCATGCTTTTGTTTTATTCCTTATCGCAGCTATACCCACATATAGTGAACTATGGCAGAATAGATGCTTCAGGAAATACCTTGAAATTCTGTCTATCAAGATCATGCAGTGCAGGACAAGAATGCTGTCTTAGTTATGGAGATTTCTCCAGTTCTCATCTAGTTACCTTCTACGGCTTTATACCACAAGGAGAGAACCCACGCGATGTCATTCTACTAGGTAAGTTTTATTATTCTATAATGTTCCAGTCGTTAATACTTTTTATAATTTATTGTCGAAAGGCCATTGCATTATTGTTGAATAATGTCTGAGTACTGGCGCTCTTAGATTTATTTAGTACTTGTTCTCATGCAGATTTTGGTTCTGCCCAAGATGAATTTACTGATGGCACCATATCCAACTGGTCCACTCACATGGTGCGGGGTACTTGGTTCTCAAAGAATCGCGATATTTTCTACTATGGCCTGCCCTCCCCATTGTTGGACTTCCTAAGGAGGGCTCATAGTCCCGTGCCGCATACTAAGGCCCTTGTAATTTTCTATGCTATTATTCATCTTACAATGATTGGCATGATCTTCATTTTTTTCAGTAGGAAATGGCTTTGTTATTGTTGTGTATGATCTTCGTCCTTCATCTTTTCATTTGGGTTTGCATTTTCTTTTTTATCTGGGCAGGCTTAGTTTAAAATTACTTTCATGCTTGCCGTTTATGTTGATTCAGTGTTCTCATATATGAACTTCTGACATTTATTTTGTTATTTTACAGCTGCTGGAAAATTTGAAGATTGAAATTGAAATTCTTGAAAATCTGCTCTCTATCTGTAATGATATGATGGATGAACTTGGTGATCCCGACCTTGATGACAGGTGAACAAGTCTCCTACCATTTATTAACATAATCTTGGGCGACAACAGAAATTTCGTTTGCTAAAACGAGGATGCATCTTGTATTTTCCTTTTTTGTGGCAGAAAAAGCACTAATTGGGATGTAAAGCTGGCAGTGGAGTTCAAGGATATACAGAGAGGTATCGTCTCTTCAGTTTTAACTTCGTGCTACTGTGGCCTCAAACAGGTGAAACACGAATTGTCTGAAATGGACGGCTGACGGAATTGTCTGAAATTGGTGAAAGACGAGAGGGTCGAACCAAATGTAAGTTACAAAAGAAGAAAAGCATTTTAGTAAGTGAGTTGAAACAAAAGTCCGTCTCCCCTCCCTCCAACCAGTCACCTTATAGGAGTGATTGGGATAATCTTCATTGATCTAATTGTTTTACATATCTTTCGATTCTGTAATCTATTAACTTTTTTTATTTTTGTTAAAACGATAGATTTTATTTGATTAGATGTTAGATTAGGAGTCAACGGGGTTCGAACCCACACCAAGATGCAAGGGCACAACTCTTTTTCACCGATGTGGTAAAGTGCCACTTGCAATCTAATAACATTTGACCATGGTCATATATTTATAAATAATTGATGATGCAGGTCATGCTAATAATCTACTTAAATAATATAATTAAAAAAAAACGAAGAAGGAAAATTGCTCAAGAAAAATTCATGTGACTATATTAAGGGAGATGGAAATTCGAGATTTCAGGTGCTCTAATAATGCAAGCAAAATGCATGCTAAGTTGATAACATCACTTTCGCTCAACGTTCTATACTAGGATGGAAATTCGAGACTTCAGGTGCAAATATAAATGTTTTTAACTATTCAAGCTACAAATTTTTTGTTGGAAAACATCATTAACTAATGAAATGAAACAAGGTTAGCAACCATAATTGATTTGCTATATTATTATAAAGCCATATTTTATAATGTTATAACTAAAGAAATGTTAAGGAAACTCTTTCAAAGTGGAACTCTCTATGGACTTTGTGCTACCTCATAGTTTAACGTTAATTATATGCTAACATTATAAAATATTGTGTAAAAAACATGAGACGGCAAATAGTCCATCGAGCGTTCTACTTTTAAGAAAGTCTTTTTAGCATTTCTCGAATTATAAACATATACATGAAGGAGAAAGAAGACAAAAGAAAGAAATGTAGTCATATTAATAAAGTATTTGGAAGTCATATTAATAATGTAATTGTAATGTCTACACATTAAACCTGGTAGTTTCTGACACGACACGAAATGAAAATAACGGGTTTCAGGTCAACACGATAACTAATCGGATCATTATCGGGTGACCCGTTAAGAAAAAATTATTTTGATAATTTTAAAGTTTAATTACAAAAATATTTATTACAAAATACAATAGCCATATTAATATATACAATATATTCTATAGTGGTCTGTACGACAAGCTGGGCGTAAATAAATACGCTCTAGTGCTACGATCACGTGAAGGCTGTGCGAAGTATCGCAAGTCACCTACGAGTCGAAACCACCTAAAGAGGTCTGTACAACAGGCTGGCACCTACCTTGGATCCAAGGTGAGCATACGGTGCGGGAGGTGAACGATCACGTGAAGGCTAGGCCCTACTTTGGCGGAGCACAATCACCGAGGTGCAGGAATATAAGCTATAACTTAATCTCATCAACACCACATCTATCACTAACAAACATACTCACCTGACTTACCTGAGCGTCTGCGGCACCAAAGCATACATATATGTAACTATTAATGCATAAATAAATATGCAAACGCTATGCATGGCATTTTAAAAACATATAACATTTAATTGCATTTTTTGGAAAAATTCTTAAGTATATAGGTATATACGGAAAACCAAAAACCCACTCATTGATACGTAGAAGGATGGTAAGCCCCGAGCCTCACGTGGCTGCGCTCGTCCTCCGGATAGTCCTTACCTATATGCGAAACAACTATAAAACCATCAATTTAACGCACATAACCAACTTTAGATAATAACTTCTCATACATTGCTCAATTGGGGTGTTTGAATATACCAACGTGATTTACTCAATCCCACGAACACCCCCATATTTTTAAAATAATTTTTTGACCTCCTACGCGCCTCCACGCACCAGCCACGCGCGGGCATGTGCCTGGCACGCATGTGACACCCTATCGGCGTTAGGGAATATTACGTTAAAACCCTAACAGACGTTAACGGTCGTTATCTGACGCCATTAGAATATTCCATTAACTCTGACGGAATATTCTCCTCCTTCTCCGGTGAGCCTCGCCGTTTGTCGCCATCAACACCGCCGCCTGCAACTCGACTTCTCGTTGAAAAACTGGAAAAACTTCAAACCTTAATATCTTCTTCATTTCTCAACCAAATTCCATGAAATTGGTACCAAAATGAAGCTTACAACAAGTAGAACAAAACGTTACCACTTTGGAGACCCAACACCAATGGATCGCGCCGAAAAAAGTCACGATATTCCGCCCAAACCTGCAACTCCCTGAAACTGGGCTTCTCGACGTCCAAAACACTTTAAAATTGTTCCCTGAGCTTCGTGAGAAGGTTCTAAAGCTTCCTGGAACCTTAAAAAATTCTAAAAACCTCACAATCACGTGTGCATGAACAATGCACCAAAACTGGGTTCACGGGTTCTAGGGTTTTCCAAGGTCGCACGTTGATTTAAGGGTATCGATGAGCTCCTGAGCTCACAAGGAACACAAAGGTAAACCCCTCAACGTCGATCCATGACAGTAGAAGGTAGTTTGAAGTTCGTTCGTACCTTTGCAAAGGAAATGGAAGAAAATAGAAGAAAATTCGAGAGAGAAGGGAGAAAGGAAATGTCCACGGGTGTATGTGTGTGTGTGTGGGTGAGGTCCAAATGGCAACCCACAAACAAAAACAATTCAAACAACACCCTACAAAGCAAAATACGTCCAGGGGCAAAATCGTCATTTCACACTAACGGTACAAAAATCGAGACGGGTTGTCACAACCTACCCACCTTAAGAAATTTCGTCCCCAAAATATACACAACAAAACAAACTACTAGTAATCATAAAAAAAATGGGGATACAAATCCCTCATCCGATCCTCCGTCTTCGAAGTAGCCTCCTCCACAGAGTGATTCCTCCACAAAATCTTCACCAAGTGTACTGACTTGTTCCTCAGAACCTTATCTTTCCAGTCAAGAATAGTCACCGGCTCCTCGTCATAAGTCAAATCAGGATTAATTTCCAACGGCTACTGAGGTAGCACATGTGATGGATCCGAGACATAGTGACGAAGCATCGAAACATGAAACACATCATGCACTCGAGACAACTCCGGAGGTAACTCAAGTCCATAAGCTACTTCACCAATCCACTCAGTGATCACGTACGGTCCGATATACCTAGGACTCAATTTCCCTTTTTTCCCGAAACGTACAACACCCTTCCACGACGACAGCTTCAAGAATACCCAATCACCTCCTTTATAGGTCTGGTCGGTGGCATGTCTGTCCGCTAAGCTCTTCTGACGATCCTGGGCCGCCTTCAGGTTAGACTTGATTACTTGAATATTTTGGGTAGCCTCATCCACTATCTCTGGGCCCTCCAAAACTCTTTCGCCTACCTCTGACCGACACAACAGCGTACGACACGATTTACCATACAATGCCTCGAAAGGTGACATACAAAGGCTTGAATGATAACTGTTGTTGTAGGCAAATTTCATCAGATCCAGACGTCTATGCCATGCATTGCCAAACTGCAAAACAGAGGATATCAACATATCCTCCATTGTCTGAATGGTCCGCTCTGATTGCCCATCGATTTGAGGATGATATGTCGTACTATACAGTAATCTCAAACTAAGAGCTTCTTGAAACGCTGTCCAGAATTTAGAAGTAAACCTTAGATCTCGATCAGAGATGATGCTGACTGGTACACCATGGTATTTAACAATCTTCGACAAAAAGAGCTCAACTAACTGTTTCAGGGAAAACTTCTCTTGAACTGGAATAAAATGCGCAGACTTGGTGAGTCGATCAACTACTACCCAAATGCCATCATAACTATTCCATGTACGGGGAAGCTTGTACACGAAATCCATGGTAATATTTTCCCATTTCACTGTGGAACGGGAAGTGGCTGCATCTGCCTAAACAGCTTCTTCCTATCGGCTTTAACCTACTAGCAAACAATACATCTGCTAACAGACTCGGCAATCTCTCTTTTCATACCCGGCCAATAGTAAAATGGTCGTATGGTATGATACATTTTCGTGCTCCCCGGATACATAGCATATGCCGATACGTGTGCCACATCCAAAATATCCCTCTTCAACTCCGCGTTGTTTGGTACAAACATTGTACCTTCAAGCATGAGCATGCTGTCTGATTCTCAAATCCGAAGATCTTTCTTTTGCCCCTCATTTCTTAGCCGAACTAGCTCTTGAGTTTCGTCGTCATCTATCTACGCCTTGGGTATACGGTCAATCAAGATTGGCCTAACTTGAAAGTGAGCAAGTAAAGCTTCCTCTCGAGCTTCCACTTCTAACTTCACTCTAGTCGACCTCAAATCAGTAAAAAGAGGAACACAGCTTGCGTGAACATCATCAATTCTGCCTTGAGATTTCTGGCTAAGTGCATCAACCACCATATTTGCACGTCCCGGGTGATACTCGATCGTGCTGTCGTAATCACTTAGCAGGTCTATTCACCTTCGCTGGCGAAGGTTTAAATCTTGCTAAGTAAATAGGTACTGAAGACTCTTGTGATCTGTGAAGATCCTACATCTCTCACCATAAAGTAGTGTCTCCAAATCTTTAATGCAAACACGATCGCCGCCAACTCAAGATTGTGAGTCGGATAATTTACCTCATGAGGCTTCAATTGTCTCGAAGCATAAGCAATAACCCTGCCGTGTTGCATTAGTACGCAGCCCAAACCATTCAACGACGCATCACTGTAGATGTCAAAGTTACCACTGTCATCTGGAAGTGCCAACATCGGTGCATGGGTGAGACAATACTTTAGTTGTTGAAAACTCTGCTCGCAACTATCGTCCCACTCGAATCTAACGTTCTTCCTGGTTAACTTGTAAGTGGTAAAGCAATAACGGAAAAATCTTGAACAAACCGTCGATAATAGCCTACCAGACCAAGAAACTCCGTACCTCAGAGACGGTTCGTGGCTGTTCCCAATTTTCCACCGTTGCAATTTTCTGGGAATCCATCTAAATACCCTGAGCTGAGATGACATGTCCCAAGAATGCAACTTGATCTAACCAAAACTAACATTTACTGAATTTAGCATATAACCGATGCTCCCTTAGTTTCTTCCACACTAAAGTAAGATGTCTCACATGATCTGCTTTGGATTTGGAATAAATCAAAATGTCATCAATAAAAACAATGAAAAACCTGTCCAAGTACTGCTTAAATACCCGGTTCATCAAATCCATAAAAGCAGCAAGTGCGTTAGTTAACCCGAACGGCATCACTAAAAACTCATAGTGACCATAATGGGTTCGAAACGCCGTCTTAGGGACATCATCACTCTTAATCTTCAGCTGATAGTAGCCAGACCTTAAGTCGATCTTCGAAAACATGTAAGCT